ATATTCAGCCATTTACAGCTAAAAGATAAGTCCTTTCCCCTGGAATCGCACGCATCTTGTGAGGTGCGGTGAGTGATTTTTGGCTTTCGGAGCCATCACACGGACGTGTGAAGTAGAAATCCTCCGGCCCGGTTAGTAAACCTATCCCACCACAACACAATCGGAACCTAAAGAAGAGAAGCATAGCATGACTACCCGATCTGTTTCCTCCTGAACGCTGATAGACCTTTTCGACGGTAGAGTGAGGGGGGCGGGGGCTAAAAATTTTCATTGCCTGCAACATTTTCACTGAACCCGAACAGCAAATTTCGACTCCGTAGCGCAAAGGAACAAGTCGACCGTTGTTGCGCTACGAAGTCAAAAATTCAAACAGTTATAATGAAAAAAGTTGCAGCCTTCAAATTGTTTCTAACCTCAACCACTGTCGAAAAGGTCCAAGCTGCGTCCAGATACGTGGGTGCCTTGGGTGCCTTGGGTGTCTGAGTCTGCTAGTATGAGAAAAATTGGGATTTGGACCAATCACAGCCACGATAGCGCACTATTTTCTCATACTAGCAGACTCAGGCACCCAAGGCACCCACGTATCTGGACGCAGCTCTATTGGCCAAAGATGGCGTGGCTGTGGCGGTGTGGCGGTCAACCAATGAGCGCGCAGAAGGAGACAGATCGAGAAGTCATGCTCTTCTTCTTTAGGTTCCGGTTGGCTTGCAGCGGAATGAAGCATTCCGGTAAAGCTGAAATGCAGAAGAATGCGGCGAAGAAGAAAACGGAAATCGCTATGTTTTAACATGGTGACTTCCGTTTTCTTGTTCCCAGCATTCTTCTGCATTTCAGCTTTACCGGAATGACTCATACCCTATTTTCAAGACTAGGATGGAGACTTACCTCGCTCGCACGGCGGTAACGGCGGGTGCTTCACAGATGATGAGGGATGAGGGTGGCAGAACAGAGCGCGGGCTGCTGCAGAGCTGGGCTGAGCGACGCGACCGACGCGACGTCGTCGAAGGTTGGCTGAGGAAAGCTATCAGGTTATCCCGGCGGACCGGACGGCAAACGCTGACACAACCACACCGTGTGGCTCGCACAGACTCACTGGACACGAACGCGACGGAAGAGACTGCTACAGCCGGCGGCCGGCGAGTGACTGACTGCCGGGCGCCGCGCTGCCGCGCTGCCGGCTAGCGGCGGCGGCGGCGGCCGCGCGGGGCACTGGAGGGGAGTGGAAGGGGGCGTGCTCGCTCGCCCTCGCTCGCCCTGTGCTCTGTCCGATGAGAACTCCCGAGGCTCACTATAGCTGTCGGAAGGGGTATGACTATTTCACCCGTGCGCTTTCCGACATCTCCAAAAAACAACAAGCAGGCCCGCCTGGCCCTTCCGCCAAAAAGAGCTGCCAGCTTTGCTTCGCTCTGCCGGCAACTCTGGCAAGGAGGTGACGAACAAGGGACCATCCATAAAGTACGTACGTCGTCGAAGGGGGGGTGGGGGAGGGGGTCACCTAAAGCGGACGCTGATGGACGAGAAGGGGGCGGGGGAATAGGGTGTCAGGAAGAAATGGCCGGTACAAAATGTCCTTTCCACATTTGTCCAAGGTTTATTTGTCACATGACATAATGTCCCTTACAAAACGTCCCAAAAATCCTGGGCCTGCCATTCGGATGGCCTCATTACCACATGGCAACAGCACTACTTGCTGGCATTGTTGGGCCGGCGCGTTCACCCGGTGGCAGCCTGGCAGGTCACGGGGCCAGCCAGCCGGCCATGTCCGACCGCATAGAGTTGGTGCCCAGTAACAAGGGGAAACTGACCTTATGCCATGGGGGCTTCACATACACCGAGCACTCCAGAAATCTGCGGCTGTTGAAAATACACTGGCGGTGCACGGAGCGCGCCATCTGCAACGCGCGGCTGCACACCAACAAGGGTTGTCTCTTCCACTTTAATCAGTCTCTGTGGCGTAAGGCCGTAGATGAGGGCCTGCGTGTCCCGTAGTATGTGAGTAGTAACCCTAATGAACATTGAACATGAGAAACATGAGAAATAAACGAATGCAACCACCTTGCAATTTATTTTCTAAATGGACTTAGGTTATGAAGGACTTAGAATATCTTGGACCATATAAAAAAGGACTTAAAAAACGAAGGACAATCACTCATTCGGGCCATTAGTTGCCGGGACATTTTCGTAACGGCCATTTTTTCGCTGCACCGGGAATAGGTAGTCCGGACGTCCGATTTTAACTGTGCAAAAACCGAAAAACTAGACGAATATTGTGCTTTTTCTCAATTTTCTTCACATTTTTTGCTCCCATTGTACCAGTAAGCCAATTCCCTCTTCTAAAACATATTCTTTCTCACAACATAAAGAAACAGATATTGTGAATTTGGCGTACACTAGGTGGAAATAGACGAGACGTCCCAAAGAGGGGGGGGGAGGGTTTCGAAAACGAACAGTGGTGGACAAGGGGGTAGAGGGGTGTTTTGGAGGCGAAAACAGCAGGTGTAATTTATGGATGATCCCCAACTCGTCCTGGATAACTCTCCCCCATGTAAAGCATTCCGGTAAAGCCAAAATGCAGAAGAATGCGAGGAAGAAGAAAACGGAAATCACTATGCTTTTACATGGAACTTCCGTTTTCTTGTTCTCTGCATTCTGCTTCATTTCAGCTGCAGCGGAAAGCGACAAAAAATGAAACGGAAATAGACCCTATTCTGTCTCGGCTAAAAGAGAAGAAGACAGAAATCCCGACCGGAACCAGTTACGAAAAATGACGCTATTTTAACGTTTAAATGGCTTTGGAAGGTAGAAGCACAATCCACAATCATGGAGTATGCCACAATGGTTGTGGTACTTTTTAGCCCACCCTTCTGCTTTTAATAAAGCATTAAAGCGGGCTTATGCAACCGCTCTCGTGTCCGTCTGTCTGTCTGTCGTCCGTGTAAGAGGAAGATGAGCTAGAGGGCCACAAATTTCAGGGTATCTTAGGGGTCACTCCTGGACAACGAAACGCCTGGTGCAAATCCTGGCAACCACTCCTAAGGGGTGAAAGGGGGTAACAAAGAAATAGAGATTGGTCCAAATGTAGA